TAGCAACACTTAAAACAACTTCCGAACTGGAAAAACTAATATCCACGATAAACATCTGTTTAAGTATCGGAAGAGGTTATCTCTGCTTTCTGAATGTCCATATTGCTAGATATGCTGAGTTTTAGGGCAGAAAACGCTGCACAACAAGAAGAGGTGACCGGACCCTGAGGAAGATTGTGGAGAAGGACCGATTCCAGACCTTGGGGGACCTGCGGAAGCAGTGGACTGAGGCCTAGTCCACACGTAGCTGGGTTTTTTAAAAAGCAAATTCAATTCAATTCAAGTTTATTTATATAGCGCCAAATCGTGACAAGAGTCTTCTCAAGGCACTTCACATAATAAACATTCCAATTCAGGTCAGTTCATTAAGCCAATCAGAAATAATGTTTCCTATATGAGGAACCCAGCAAATTGCATCAAGTCACTGACTAGTGTCAATGACTATACAGCAATCCTCATACTGAGCAAGCATAAAGCGACAGTGGAGAGGAAAACTCCCTTTTAACAGGAAGAAACCTCCAGAGAACCATGGCTCAGTATAAGCAGCCATCCTCCACGACTCACTGGGGATCGAGAAGACAGAGCAGACACACACACACACACACACACACACCTACACACACACACACACACACACACACACACACACACACACACACACACACACAGACAAGTAATGTGTCTATAGTTATATTGTGATTTCTTAGTAAATATTCTATTTGGTGAAAGATAAACTTTATTGTATTTGTCCTAGTGGATCTATAATTAAACGGGTAAACTAGTAGTAGCACATTCAATGTCAAAGAGAGTAAAAAGTTATTATCAGGAGAGGGATAATGTTTTAGTGGTTAGCAGCAGTGTGCTAGACGATGGCCCCCTCCATGAGGCCACCACAGCTCTGCAGAACATCGTTGTAGCTTCTTCTGGGGAGAAAAACAGAGAGAAAATAAAGTTAACAGCTGAAATTGCAGAAAATAATACATTTAAAGAGCTGACTGTAGAAGAAAGCAGTGGAGTGTGAAAAGTGGTCAGTGTATCCTCCAGCAGTCTAAGCCTATAGCAGCATAACTACAGAGATATCTCTGGATAATCTATCCTATTTAGATGGAGGCACGTTGGAGGCAGGGCAAGGGAGAGCCGTCTTTACCCACTGTACACTCCACCTCCCTCTCCTCCCCCACTGGTCCAGATCTGGGCTAACATCAGATTTTAACCATATGCCCTATCAAATAAAAATGTTTCAAGCCTAGTCTTAAAAGTAGACAAGGTGTCTGCCTCACGGACTAAGGCTGGGAGCTGGTTCCACAGGAGAGGAGCCTGATAACTAAAATATCTGCCTCCCATCCTAATTTTAGATATTCTGGGAACCACCAGTAAACCTGAAGTCTGAGAGCAAAGTGCTCGGTTAGGAACATATGGAACAATCAGATCACTGATGTATGATGGAGCTTGATTATTAAGAGCTTTATATGTGAGAAGAAGGATCTTAAAATCTATTCTGAATTTAACAGGTAGCCAATGTAGGGAAGCTAAGACAGGAGAGATATGATCTCTCTTTTTAATTCTCATCAGAACTCTAGCTGCAGCATTTTGGACAAGCTGAAGACTTTTAACTACATTCTGTGGACTTCCTGAGAGCAATGAATTACAAATGCATGAACTAGTTTTTCAGCATCACTCCTGGAAAGGATGCTTCTAATCATAGCAATATTCTGAAGGTGGAAAAAGAAAATCCTACAAACCTGTTTAACCTGGGATTTGAATGACATGTCCTGGTCAAAGATAACACCAAGATTCCTTACTTTGTTCTCGGAGATGTAATGCCATTCAGGTCAGGCGACTGGCTAAGCAATTTCCTTTTCTGGATCTCTGGTCCAAAGATGAGAACTTCCGTCTTGTCTTGATTTAAAAGCAAAAAGTTCAGAGTCATCCAATGTTTTATGTCCTCAAGACAAGCCTGTAATCTACCCAAACGATTAGGTTCATCAGGGTTAATGAATAAATATAGCTGAGTATCGTCAGCATAACAGTGGAAGTTTATCCCATGCTGTCTAATGATTTTACCAATTGGGAGCATATATATAGTAAAAAGAATTGGTCCAAGCACTGAACCCTGTGGTACTCCACAAGTAACCCTGGAGTATGAAGACGATTTGTCATGTACATTTACAAAATGATACCTTTGGAGGAATAGCTCCTTCATCATGTTACATATATAGATGGATGGATGGATGGATGGATGGATGGATGGATGGATGGATGGATGGATGGATGGATGGATGGATGGATGGATGGATGGATGGATGGATGGATAGATGGATAGATAGATAGATAGATAGATAGATAGATAGATAGATAGATAGATAGATAGATAGATAGATAGATAGATAGATAGATAGATAGATAGATAGATAGATAGATAGATGGATGGATGGATGGATGGATGGATGGATGGATGGATGGATGGATGGATGGATGGATGGATGGATGGATGGATAGATAGATAGATAGATAGATAGATAGATAGATAGATAGATAGATAGATAGATAGATAGATAGATAGATAGATAGATAGATAGATAGATAGATAGATAGATAGATAGATAGATAGATGATAGATAGATAGATAGATAGACACTTTTTGTTGCAGCCAGGTCTCTTTCTCAATACGCTAATACGTTCTTGTGTTTCTCAAATCCAGTCCTCAGGACCCCCTGCTATACATGGTTTCCATGTTGCCCTCTCAGTCACCACACTCACCTGACTTAAATGAATGAGTGATTAACAGGCATATGCAGCACTTGATGTCTTCCTTCATGTAAATGTGTTTAAAACCATAACTGAATGAATACCTCATGGAATGTTTTATCTGTGTCACAATTTCAACCCCTCCTCTTTTATCCGGGCTTGGGACCGGCAGAAGTGACCCAGAGAGGGACACTCTGGCAGAGTTAGTTTTTTTTTCCAATTGGATAAAATTTTATTCTCCATCTTGATTTATCTTAATTCAGTTTACTTATATATTACCAATTTGTAAAACAAATCATCTCAAGGCACTTTAAAGTGCAAACACTCCAGTTGAACCAAATTATTGAACAATTAATTGAGTTCATTATTCTGATTAGTTGAATGTCTCTATGTAAGGAAACCCAGCCGATTGCTGTAAAGTCACTGACTAGTCAAGTCAGTGACTTTACAGCAATCCCCATACTAAGCAAGCATGTAGCGACAGTGGAGAGCAAAACTCCCCTTTAACAGGGAGAAACCTCCAGCAGAACCTGGCTCAGTATGAGTGACCGTCTGCCAAGACCCACTGGGGTGCTTACCTGGTTGAACAACACATTCTCACTCCCAGCGCGTCAAAAACAAACGCTTGGTCAGCCACCCTCCACGTCAGACCCCAGACGCCAAAAGTGCCCTTTTTCGTTACTTATATACTGATTACTGATAAGGCACCGAACCAGCTCATTTAACCGCACCTAAACCATAACGTTTCAGTATTTATAACCTTCCCCTCTCCCTCATCCTAACCTTAACCCTCTGTCTACCTAAAACGTTACTCTCACTGTGATCAAGCATTTGTTTCCCATGCATTCTGACTGTGAATTTTCGTATTTGCCGCCCAAGGAGAACGCTAGAACATACCAGCTGGCGAGGGGGAGGTTACAAATACCCTCTACTTTTAACCTCCACCGTGGTAGTTGAAACCTCCCCCTCGCGTTGGCTCGGTCCAAACCCGACCAATGACAAGGCGGCTCCCACCGTTCACTTCATAGAGCCGGCTTTTAGAGCGATCTGTGACACATCACTAACGTGTTCGCTAGCAAGATGGTTAAGGTTAGGATAGGGCTGAGGGGAGGGTTAAATAAGACGATAAGGTTAAGGTGAGGTACAATGAGCTTGTTTGGTGCTCTGGCTGCGGACATCCCATCACGTCAGTTTTACGCTGCATTGGGATCTGCAGTCAGAAAAGGGGAAAACCCCTTTTCACACAAAAGTAACGAAAAAGGGCACTTTTGGCGTCAGGGGGTCTGATGTGGAGGGTGACGGACCAAGCGTTAGTTTTTGACGCGCTGGGAGTGAGAATGTGTTGCTGGTTGAACATGTTAGGGTTGTAGGGTACGTCCTAAACACTAACGCTGAGTTATGATGTTTCAGTTTTCTACCTTAAACATGTTATACCTGCTTTCTACACCTGAAACCCTAGACCCTTTTGTGGGAGGTTCGTGATGAAAAACAGCTTTCCTTTTGGCAGAAGACGATCCATTCTCAGGAACCCAAAATCAACATTCCTTTTCTGGAGTTTCAGATCCCTCACCATCAAAGGAAATGATTCTCTTTGAGAAGCTGTCTATTTATACATTTGTTTGGGTTGTTTTCAGAGAGTTTGCCTTCATCAGAGACCTTAAACCTTTTTGTGGGAGGTCCAGGGTCTGAAACAGCTTTCCGTTTGGTTGCTGAAACTAAACCACGATTCTCTGACAAATGCGGTTGTTCCATGCTAATATAAGTCTCTGAATCTTTAACCAGAGCTGTAGAGTAACTCTTGTGAGGTAAAGAGTCTCCCATGATGCCAAATAACACGTAGACGATACGTTGAAAAACTAACGAACAACGAGCAAACACGGCTGTCTCTGATGGTGCGTCACTGAGAACTGAATGCTTGGTAGAATGAGATGATGGTGACGATGATGATGTCATAAAAGTTCTAAAAGGGCAAAGACGAGGCTAAAGTTGATTTTTGGAAAGGCCCTTATTGCTCTTCACCCGAGGATTACATCCTTTTGTTTCTTCTGATCCGACCCAAGAAGTTCCAAAGACCAGATTTAAAAGTCAAGGTGATCGCTCCTTCCAGGTTGTTGCACCCTGGCTTTGGAATGAACTTCCTTTAACCTTATGTAGTACTGACAGTCTGGTAACCATTGAAAAACAGCTGAAGATGTCATGTTGTGTGGTAGATGCCTAACCCACGACATACAGAATCAGTCCACAGAGTCAAAGAAGATCGCAAACAATAATTTATTAGAAAAGGAGAACAGAAGGAGCTGCTAGGAAGTCTAGCAGTATTCGGCAGAGAAGCGAGGTTCGGGTGTGGAGAATCCTGGAGGAACAGGGAGAGTTAGGTCTGGCACTCGGAAATCTGAATGTTGGATCTGATGGAACTTACAGGTTGGAGGTGAGACCTCGTGAGAGAGGGAGGAGTGACCGGTCTGGGGAGGGCAGGAGGCTTACTGGAGGCTGATGAGCTTGGAGTCCAAATGAGGAGGGAGCTGAGCATGAAGGGTAATGGTGATCCAGGAGGGAGGGTGGGCAGCCTGGAGTGGGAAGACCAGAGGAGGACGCTGAGAGACGAGTGGACAGTGAAGAAACCAGGTTGGTAGCAGCAAACGAGGTGAACTGATAGGTGATATCTGCAGGAGGCAAAACAAGCAGTCAAAAACACAGAGATCTCAAAAATCAAAAATCCGTAACCCAGAAATTCTCAAAAATCAAAGCTTAGTTTGGATTTGGCTGTTAGGAGAAATACCCAAGTTGAGTTAATCATCCAGCGAAGTGAAGGCGTCTCTCAGGAGCTTAAATATCCCTGGCCAGCTAATCAGCAGATTACCTGCAGCCTCCCAACTTCCAGGCACGCCCACCTGCAGAGGAGAGATGAGACTCTACACCAATTAGTGTGTGAAAAAACCCCAGACCGTGACAGAAGACCCTTTTATTTAAAGCTGCTTTTACCAAAATCTTTTGTTTTCCTATTTTTAACTCAAATTTGTAATCATCTTTCATTGGTTTTATGATCATTTGTAATTTTGCGGTGGTTACATGCTAATATAAGTCTCTGAATCTTTAACCAGAGCTCGAGAGTAACTCTTGTGTGCAAAAGAGTCGCCCATAATGCTAAATAAGTCGTAGACGATAAGTTGGACTAGAATATTCCTGGGTGGGGGGTGAACTGGAGCTCCCAGAGAAAACCCCCCCGCAGCACAAGGACACACAGAAAGGATTTCCACGAGGGTTTTCGGTGACATCATTCTTGTGTTGCCTTTTTTTACAGATTTAGGGACACGTGGGGATGTGTGTGGACGTGATTCATACTTCCTAACTAGGGTTTATAATTTATTATAAGTAATAATATCTAATAGCAGATAAAGCTACACTAAAGCAACAAATAACAGCCTGTCTCAGGCTGAAATCTGCATAATGGAACTAAACCATTCTAACGTTTTCCATTTGGATTTTGGTTTCCGGCTTTTTCCACCTGCTGCTTGAGAATTTATATTTTTTCTAACATTTTCTCGGTGACTAACTTTCTCTCTCCTGTTTCCTTTTGAAGGATGTTCCCTTCGTTGTCTGACGTTTCTGCGGGTTTTCCAGAGGGAGAGGTGCATGAATCACCTCAACTTTCTTCTCTGGGTCTGGTTTGACAGACTTTTCTTGATCCAGCTGTTTATTTTCCTCTTTCTGGTTACTAACACAACATGCTGATTCTCTGGTGTGATGTGTGCCTTTGCATATCCTATCATATAAACAGTTATGGTGGACTGCCAGGGCCTTTTTTTGGGCTCAGTCCTGCAGTGGGATGAGGGAAATGTAGGAGATGATAGGTGACTCTGTTAGGGGTTGAGGGGTGTCTGAGTTAGGAGGGATCTAGCTTGGTGCCAGTTGAATTGGGTCCAGAGCTTTGAAGACTTTAGTTTCTGTTTTACCAAAGCCAAGGGTGACGCTGGAGCTGCTTTAAGGTGGGACGCCACCCTGGGCTCATAATTAAACAGCTCTTTAGGAAGTTGGTACAGTATGGAGAGAGATCCGTCCTGATTCCGAGTTCGTTATTGAAAAACTTTTTTGAGTCAAACAAACTTTCGTGGAGCATTTCATAGAGAACAATTCCCACCTGCCACACGGTTGCTGGTCCTGCCTCATAAATGCCTTTGGAAATAAACTCAGGAGGGACGTGTTTCGGTGTGCCGTAGAACCAGCCGTCTTTATATTCTGTGTCGGTGAAACAACTCAGTCCAAAGTCAATCAGTCGCAGTCGCGGGATTTCTGATCCTGTTTCAATCAGAATATTTTGTGGTTTGATGTCTCTGTGGAAAATGTTGGTGTCCTCCAGATGTTTGACGGCATCAACCAGCTGTTTAATAATTGTTTTTGCCTGATTGTCCTGTAGGGGCTCTTTGTTATTTTTAATAAACTGTGAGAGGTCCACTGCAGGCACTGGTCTCTCCAACACCAGAATTTGTTCCTGGTTGAAGTCATACCAGTCCAGGAGGGAAATTGGGGCGGACTTCCCCACCGAATCAGCTAATTCTGTCTGGAGTTTTATCATGGCGGCTACCTCAATGGTGAGTTGCTGGCCGTTCTCATCCGTATCTGTCCAGACTACATTTTCCTTTGGTATATGTTTGATTGCCACAGGTAAATTGTCTGCCCTGCGGTAGCCACCATAAACAGATCCACAGCCACCCTTTCCGAGCTGATCTTTTTGCTCGTATTTTGCCTCGAACTGATCTTTGGCTGAAGGCGAGGGACTCACAGAATCAAACAGTCTGATTCTCTTTGCTGGACTTCCAGATCCCTCGTCATCTGGTGAGTGTGACCTCTTTGAGGCTCTGGATGTTTCATCCAGGTTAACTCTGGAGACACTGCCTTCACCTGAAACCCTAGACCGTTTTGTGGGAGGTTCGTGATGAAAAACAGCTTTCCTTTTGGCAGAAGACGATCCTTTCTCAGGAACCAAATATCTGCATTCCTTGTCTGGATTTCCAGATCCCACGCCATCTGGTGAGTGTGACCTCTTTGAGGCTCTGGATGTCTCATCTAGGTTAACTCTGGAGACACTACCTTCACCTGAAACCCTAGACCGTTTTGTGGGAGGTTCGTGATGAAAAACAGCTTTCCTTTTGGCAGAAGACGATCCTTTCTCAGGAACCAAATATCTGCATTCCTTGTCTGGATTTCCAGATCCCACGCCATCTGGTGAGTGTGACCTCTTTGAGGCTCTGGATGTCTCATCTAGGTTAACTCTGGAGACACTGCCTTTACTTGAAACCCTAGACCGTTTTGTGGGAGGTTCGTGATGAAAAACAGCTTTCCTTTTGGCAGAAGACGATCCTTTCTCAGGAACCAAATATCTGCATTCCTTGTCTGGATTTTCAGATCCCTCACCATCAAAGGAAATTGATTTCTTTGTGAATTTGTCAATTTGTATAATGTTCTGGTTGTTTTCAGAGAGTTTGCCTTCATCAGAAACCTTAAACCTTTTTGTGAGAGGTCCAGGGTCTGAAACGGCTTTCCGTTTGGTTGCTGAAACTAAACCACGATTCTCTGACAAATGCGGTTGTTCCATGCTAATATAAGTCTCTGAATCTTTAACCAGAGCTTGAGAGTAACTCTTGTGAGCAAAAGAGTCTCCCATGATGCTAAATAACACGTAGACGACAAGTTGAAAAACTATCGAACAACGAGCAAACACGGCTGTCTCTGACGGTGCGTCACTGAGAACTGAATGATGATGATGATGATGAAGATGATTATGATGATGTCATAAAGCAAAGTTCTAAAAGGGCAACGACGACGCTGACGCTGCTTTGCTCTCCACCCGAGGATTATGTCCTTTTTGTTTCTTCTGATCCGACCCAGGAAGTTCCAAAGACCAGATTTAAAAGTCAAGGAGATCGCTCCTTCCAGGTTGTTGCACCCTGGCTTTGGAATGAACTTCCTTTAACCTTATGTAGTACTGACAGTCTTTAAAAAACAGCTGAAGACCCTTTTATTTAAAGCTGCTTTTACCAAAATCTTTTGTTTTCCTATTTTTAACTCAAATTTGTAATAATCTTTCATTGGTTTTATGATCATTTGCAATTTTATGACTTTGTTTTTATGATTTAAATTTATTTGTTTTGTTTAAGATCATTATGATTTTATGACTTCATCAAATCAAATTAAATGTTATTTATGAAGCGCTTTTCTGCAGCTCAAAACGCTTTACAATATTAAAAACAACCAGCAGTCGTTTCCTACCCCTCCCACACAGATTAACGTCCAAGATCCATTTTGTATTGATTTGTTTTGTTGTTGATCTACGTGAAGCACTTTGTGATTCGGTGTCTGTGATGAGTGCTAAATAAATAAAATGTAATTACTTTACTATTATTCTTCCGCGGATGTTAAGGCGGCTCGAACGGCAGCGTGCACCCCCACATATTATACGTAACGAGCGGCTCGGCCGCGGGAGGTGTGCTGTTATTTTTACACGTGATCTGATTTACCATGGTGAAATAATTAGCAAGACTTCAAAAGATGTCTCATTTTTGTGCAGATTGATCCATCCCGTTGAACCTTTGAGTGTGTGGCATTTTTTACATGTGTGTAAACACCATCTTTGACCAGGTGGCAGATCCCTTTTTTAAACCTCTTCAGGAATTTTCTAGTTCTATTTCTATGCCAGTTACATGTAATTATTTAGCAGCTTAAATTAATTTGGTTCCTCAGAGTCTTAAATCAACACCCAGCCTACCCAAGAACCACATTGACTTTTGAGTGATTCAGTTGTTTTTTTGATGACGATGATGTCCCAGCTTGTCCTGAACTTTTATAGATGTATGAACTCTATGAGTCTTCTTGATGCAACAAGTTTCTTACACTTCAAGAATATGGAGGAAGGCTGGAGCCCTAGGGTCAAATAAAGTATTTAATAGGTGCGTGCTCCAGCCTCCCTTTTTATTCTTAAATTGCAAGTACCAGCTGTTGAGCACCGGAACTCATTCGGATTAAGCGCTGTGTGTTTGCTTCTTTCTTACACCTTGATTTGCAGATCCTCTCCAGTTCTGTCAGGTTGGATGGTGAACAGACATTTTTAGGTTTCTCCAGAGATGCTCAGTTGGGTCAGGCCTCTGGCTGGGACATTCAAGAACAGTCACAGAGTTGCCCTGAAGCTACTCCATCATTATTTTAGCTGTGTGCCTATAGGGTCATTGTCATGTTGGAAGGTAAACCTTCAGTCCAGTCTGAGGTCCTGAGTACTCTGGAGAAGGATCCTGTCCAGGATATGCATGTACATGGCCGCATTCATCGTTCCTTATATGTGTGCGTGTATATATATACATATATATATATATATATATATATATATATATATATATATATATATATATATATATATATATATGTGTGTGTGTGTGTATAAATACACACACACACACACACACACACACACATCGTCGCTCACTTAATGACACTCTGTGTCATTAAGTGAGCACATTAAGGCTAGTAATGACAACTAGCTTCTAGTAATTGTATTATTTATAAATAACAAAATTAACACACTTTTAAATAAGAAACCTTCAAACATTCTTCAGTAATTAGCATTATTACAAAATGACTCCATGAATTCCCAAGAATCAAAGTCTTTGCTTGTCAAAGTTCTCTCTTGTGAGTGGTCCTCAGGTCTCACACTGATGGTGATCATCCTGAACCCAAACACCCCAAGCTGATCAGCTAGACCACAAGTGTTTTATGTCCAGAGAGATGGAATATGAACTCAAGGAGCAGCAGTCCCATCGTCCAGCATCTGCAATGGCAGGTAGCAGAGTTCCTGTGTGGTTAGCTTCACCAGCTGACAGCCCACAGGACATTATCTGTCCCCCTCAATACTGAAGATGAACTTTTGGGGGGGGGGGGGTTCCATCACCCCTGCAGGTCAAAGGTCCTGTGGCAGTGACTGGAGCAGCAATAGGCCACAAAACTCACTGTGGTTCTGCAGAAGGAACAACGATGTCAGAACCAAACATGTCTGTTGCTACAGGGACAAATCCGTATTCTGACCTGCGGTGCACTCCTGCCAGGGCCGTGTCGCGGAGTAGGAAAAACTTCGGGTGTGTGATGGTGAACATGGCCTGGCTGCACCGGTGACAGTGACCCAGAGGGAACTGCAGCAGGTCCAGCAGGACCTTTGGGAGGCTGATGGGGGGCAGCAGGTTCAGGCCTGGAGACAAAACAGGTCAGGATTCAAACAGCAAACAGGGAGATGTGGTTTTCTCACAAGAAACTACAAACACACCTCTGTCGTCATTTAATGTAGAACTGGTGTAAATGTGCTCACCTGCTGGGTGCTGCTGGTGGATGTGGTGCAGAGTCCTCATGGCCAGCTCCTCCAGAGGAACCACGTTATCCTTCTCTGATCCAATCACCTTCACCTCAGCTGGAAGCCCAATCAGAGCATCATGCAGCACCCCCAGCCCTTGGTAGGATACACCACACCTGTACACACACACACACACACACACACACACACACACACACACACACACACACACACACACACACACACACACACACACACACACACACACACACACACACACACACCTTTGTGACAGCAGCATGAGAAGTCAGGAGAAGTGAGTCAGGTGTGTAACCCGCTGCAGCCAATGACCTTGTTGTACATGTAGGACGGGAGACCTTTTAGGTCCGTGTTGTTGTCCACAAACACAAACTGTAGCTCTCTGGATCTGCCGAGATCTAAAACACAAATATTTGTATATCAAATCAACAAAAAGCCACAAATAAAGGAAAACTCACCAAGTAGGAGGAAGGTTAGTCGGTTGGCAGCCATGGAGAGCTGGTTGAGGCAGTGTAGCCAGCAGAGTTGTCGAGGAACATGGCTCAACAGGTTGTGGTCCACTGTCAGGTTCTGCAGCGAGACACAGCGGTGCAGGCTGCCTGGTAGAGACATCAGCTGGTTCATGGATACGTCAAGTGTCTCCAGGTCCTGAAGATCACCGATCTCTGCAGGAGTCAGCATAAGAGAGAGAGAAACAAGCCTCATGAGGTAAATGCAGAACTCATTTCAACTAGAATTAAATGAGACTCCACTAAATATTTCATTTATGGAACAAATCTGAGCTTAAAGTTAGAAAATGAAATCAGTACAAAGAGATGATCAAATGTTTGTTTCTGACTGAACGTTACTCTGTACTTAAATAGTTTACCTCTGCTGACCCCTGGTGGCAAACAAAGTGTTTATGTCACAAACGTCAGTAAGCAGAAAGTAAAACAAGGCTTCTTAATAATAAGGGGTAGACCAATATATTGGTCATCTGATATATTGGGACAATATTTACAATTTTTTATATATCAGCATCGACTGGTACACCTCCATAGTAAAGCTGATTTAAAATCAGGCACATCCCCGGGCAGCCCGTTGATGCTGCACAATTTAAATGTATATTTAAGACATCTGCATAATAAATTCTCTAAAACGTTTTCAACCCAATTTCCTTTTATTTACCATTATGAATATTTAATTGTTTGATTACGTTTAGTTAGATGTCTGATTTGAACACTAACAGTTGGTTAAATGCACTGTTGAAAAACAGATTCAGCTTCAGAAATGTTTTCATCCACTGATGTTATTAGTGACACTTTAACATGCAGATATGGTGGAAAACGTCTAGATATCGGCCTTTGGCTGACCATGACCTCTACATATCTGCATGCATCATATCAGCAATAGAAAAAACAATATTGGTCAACCTCTACTTTTTACCAACAGCAAGGGCCACAGCATCAGGCAGCAGCTGCTTAATACATGTGAGCTGTGGGCAACAAGTATTAACCGGTTATCTACGGGTCCTTCTCAAAAAATTTGCATATTGTGATGAATTCATTATTTTCTGTAATGTACTGACAAACATTAGACTTTCACATATATATTAGATTCATTACACACAACTGAAGTAGTCCAAGCCTTTTATTGTTTCTAATATTGATGATTTTGGCATACAGCTCATGAAAACCCAAAATTCCTATCTCAAAAAATTAGCACATTTCATCCAACCAATAAAAGAAAAGTGTTTTTAATACAAAAAACCTTGAAATAATTATGTTCAGTTATGCACTCAATACTTGGTCGGGAATCCTTTTGCGGAAATGACTGCTTCAATGCGGCGTGGCATGGAGGCAACCAGCCTGTGGCACTGCTGAGGTGTTATGGAGGCCCAGGATGCTTCGATAGCGGCTTAAGCTCATCCAGAGTGTTGGGTCTTGCATCTCTCAACTTTCTCTTCACAATATCCCACAGATTCTCTACGGGGTTCAGGTCAGGAGAGTTGGCAGGCCAATGGAGCACAGTAATACCATGGTCAGTAAACCATTTACTAGTGGTGTTGGCACTGTGAGCAGGTGCCAGGTCCTGCTGAGAAATGAAATCTTCATCTCCATAAAGCTTTTCAGCAGATGGAAGCATGAAGTGCTCCAAAATCTCCTGATAGCTAGCTGCAGTGACCCTGCCCTTGATAAAACACAATGGACCAACACCAGCAGCTGACATGACACCCCAGACCATCACTGACTGTGGGTACTTGACACTGGACTTCAGGCATTTTGTTATTTCCCTCTGCCCAGTCTTCCTCCAGACTCTGGCACCTTGATTTCTGAATGACATGCAAAATTTGCTTTCATCCGAAAAAAGTACTTTGGACCACTGAGCAACAGTCCAGTGCTGCTTCTCTGTAGCCCAGGTCAGGCGCTTCTGCCGCTGTTTCTGGTTCAAAAGTGGCTTGACCTGGGGAATGCGGCACCTGTAGCCCATTTCCTGCACATGCCTGTACACGGTGGCTCTGGATGTTTCTACTCCAGACTTAGGCCCTGTCCACACGTAGCCGGGGATTTGCCAAAACGTAGATATTTTTCTGCATTTTGGCCTGTCATCCACACGAAAACGGAGTTTTTTCACACGAAAACGGATCTTTTTAAAAACTCTGGCCAAAGTGAAGATCTGCGTTTTCTCCGTTTTGGGTGTCTGCGTGTGGACAGACAAAACCGGAGTTTTAAGGTCCGCAACGTCACTTTCCACGACAAAAAAATGCTGACATCACGTGTGCGACCTGTGTTTACACTAGCCGACAGCATGGATGCCCTCAGAGCTGCGCTCGCTTTATCAATTGCCCAAGCGCTTTTTGCTTGTTTGTTTTTGCAAGCGGAATTACTGCTACTTGCGGAAGACCACAGATGAAGGACGAGGTTAAGATGGGGGAAGTACTGCCACCTACAGGTCTGGCATGTCCTTAACAACGTATTTATCCGGGTACGTGTGGACAGTTTTTTTTTTTAAAACGAGGTGGTGTGGATGCAAGTTTTTGGAGGGGCGGGTATTCGCTCTGTTTGAGGAATTTCAGTCTGGTTTTAGAGAGTATCACAGCACTGAAACTGCGTTAGTGAGAGTTACAAATGATACTCTCATGGCCTCAGATAAGAATCTTGTGTCTGTTCTAGTCTTGTTAGATCTCAGTGCTGCCTTTGACACAGTTGATCACAATGTTCTTTTAGAAAGACTTGAACATGTTGTAGGGATCAAAGGAACAGCGCTAGGCTGGTTTAAATCCTACCTGTCTGACAGATTTCATTTTGTAAATGTACATGACAAATCTTCTTCATACTCCAGGGTTACTTGCGGAGTACCACAGGGTTCAGTGCTTGGACCAATTCTTTTTACTATATATATGCTCCCAATTGGTAAAATCATTAGACAGCATGGGATTAACTTCCACTGTTATGCTGACGATACTCAGTTATATTTATCCATTAACCCTGATGAACCTAATCGGTTGGGTAGATTACAGGCTTGTCTTGAGGACATAAAAAACTGGATGACTCTAAACTTTTTGCTTTTAAATCAAGACAAGACGGAAGTTCTGATCTTTGGACCAGAGATCCAGAAAAGGAAATTGCTTAGCCAGTCGCCTGACCTGAATGGCATTACATTAATCTCCGAGAACAAAGTAAGGAATCTTGGTGTTATCTTTGACCAGGACATGTCATTCAAATCCCAGGTTAAACAGGTTTGTAGGATTTTCTTTTTCCACCTTCGGAATATTGCTATGATTAGAAGCATCCTTTCCAGGAGTGATGCTGAAAAACTAGTTCATGCATTTATTACATCAAGACTGGATTATTGTAATTCATTACTCTCAGGAAGTCCGCAGAATGTAGTTAAAAGTCTTCAGCTTGTCCAAAATGCTGCAGCTCGAGTTCCGATGAGAATTAAAAAGAGAGATCATATCTCTCCTGTCTTAGCTTAACCTACATTGGCTACCTGTTAAATTCAGAATAGATTTTAAGATCCTTCTTCTCACATATAAAACTCTTAATAATCAAGCTCCATCATACATCAGTGATCTGATTGTTCCATACGTTACTAACCAAGCACTTCGCTCTCAGACTGCAGGTTTACTGGTGGTTCCCAGAATATCTAAAATTAGGATGGGAGGCAGATATTTTAGTTATCAGGCTCCTCTCCTGTGGAACCAGCTCCCAGCTTTAGTCCGTGAGGCAGACACTTTGTCTACTTTTAAGACTAGGCTTGAAACATTTTTATTTGATAGGGCCTATGGTTAAAATCTGATGTTAGCCCAGATCTGGACCAGTGGGGGAGGAGAGGGAGGTGGAGTGTACAGTCGGTAAAGACGGCTCTCCCTTGCCCTGCCTCCAACATGCCTCCATCTAAATAGGATAGATTATCCAGAGATATCTCTGTAGTTATGCTGCTATAGGCTTAGACTGCTGGAGGATACACTGACCACTTTTCACACTCCACTGCTTTCTTCTACAATCTGCTCTTTAACTGTATTATTTTCTGCAATTTCAGCTGTTAACTTTATTTTCTCTCCGTTTTTCTCCCCAGAAGAAGCTACAATGATGTTCTGTTGAGCTGTGGTGGCCTCATGGAGGGGGCCATCGTCTAGCACACTGCTGCTAACCACTAAAACATTATCCCTCTCCTGATAATAACTTTTTACTCTCTTTGACATTGAATGTGCTACTACTAGTTTACCCGTTTAATTATAGATCCACTAGGACAAATACAATAAAGTTTATCTTTCACCAAATAGAATATTTACTAAGAAATCACAATATAACTATAGACACATTACTTGTGTTTGTGTGTGTGTGTGTGTGTGTGTGTGTGTGTGTGTGTGTGTGTGTGTGTGTGTGTGTGTGTGTGTGTGTGTGTGTGTGTGTGTGTGTGTGTTCTGTCTTCTCGATCCCCAGTGAGTCGTGGAGGATGGCTGCTTATACTGAGCCATGGTTCTCTGGAGGTTTCTTCCTGTTAAAAGGGAGTTTTCCTCTCCACTGTCGCTTTATGCTTGCTTAGTATGACGATTGCTGTATAGTCACTGACACTAGTCAGTGACTTGATGCAATTTGCTGGGTTCCTTATATAGGAAACATTATTTCTGATTGGCTTAATGAACTGACCTGAATTGGAATGTTTATGTGAAGTGCCTTGAGAAGACTCTTGTCGTGATTTGGCGCTGTATAAATAAACTTGAATTGAATTGAATTTGTTTTTTAAAAAAACCGGCTACGTGTGGACTAGGCCTTAGTCCACTGCTTCCGCAGGTCCCCCAAGGTCTGGAATCGGTCCTTCTCCACAATCTTCCTCAGGGTCCGGTCACCTCTTCTCGTTGTGCAGCGTTTTCTGCCACACTTTTTCCTTCCCACAGACTTCCCACTGAGGTGCCTTGATGCAACACTCTGGGAACAGCCTATTCATTCAGGAATTTCTTTCTGTGTCTTACCCTCTTGCTTGAGGGTGTCAATGATGACCTTCTGGACAGCAGCCAGGTCGGCAATCTTACCCAAGATTGCGGTTTTGAGTAATGAACCAGGCTGGGATTTTTAAAAGCCTCAGGAATCTTTTGCAGGTGTTTAGAGTTAATTAGCTGAATCAGATGATTAGGTTAATAGCTCGTTTAGAGAACCTTTTTATGATATGCTAATTTTTTTGGATAGGAATTTTGGGTTTTCATGAGCTGTATGCCAAAATCATCAATATTAGAAACAGTAAAAGGCTTGAACTACTTCAGTTGTGTGTAATGAATCTAATATATATGAAAGTCTATTGTTTGTCAGTACATTACAGAAAATAATGAACTTTATCACAATATGCTAATTTTTGAGAAGGACCTGTATATTTATTTATCCCCTTTAGGAACATCCAGACTAGAGGTTGACCAATATTGGCTTTTCTATTGCCGATACTGATATGTGGAAGACATGATCAGTCGATGGCCGATACGTACTGCCAATTTTTATGGGCCAATATCTAGAAATTTCCCAATACTCATGCTAAAATGTCAAATGCGCTGCTCAGTGTTAAAGTTAGACACCTAAATAAAGTTAATTTAGTGTATTTATTATGCAGATGTTTAGTAAAAAAATAAATAAAAACATTTAAATTAAATTTTACAAAAGCACCGAGCTGCCCGAAGATGTGCCTGACTTGAAATCGGCTTAACTAGCGACAAATATCGGCCGACCAATATGGTGGTCTACCCCGATGGGTCTACCTTTAATACAGACTGTGATGCATATATACAGCCTTGAATATATCTACAGGTCTGGAGTAAATGCTGCTTCTGTCTGGTAAAACGTTCCTGTAATATTTGAACGTGGTGTTGATCAAAATCTATTTAGACTTTGTGAAGATCTATCAGAAGTTTATATTACTGTGCTTTGGCTGAGGTGATTCCCACAGAGCAAATAGGACTCGCTCCATACATAGAAGATCAAAGGATGAGGTTATATCTCTCTAGTTCTGTGTCTCAAGTATTTGATGCTTTCAAGGGAAAGTACGCTTTAAAACTTGTCTCATTTTACCTGAAGGAAGGTTTTTTAAGTTGATTGTTGGACAGTCTCAGGTGGCGTAGACCTTAGACGGCCAACTTCTGGACAGAGCAGCTGGAGGGCGTTATTGCTCAGGTCCAACAACTGAAGTCTGGCCAAGTTTCCAATAGCTGGAGATCAGATCAAGCACCTACTTCAGCTTTAAACAAACTAATCAGATCAGACACTGGTGCTCTAGCATGGCTGTATGGAGTTCCTACCTTTGGGTATAACGACTATGTTGTTTGAGTGCAGGTACCTAAAATCAAAACAAATAAATAACAGGTTATTGTCAGCTTTTAGACTGTATTAAAGTTATAAAAAAACGGGGGAAGTGGAGAGACAGCAGGAGCGATTTGTGGCAGCGGCAGCACGAGTGGCACTTGCAGTGGCAGCTCTGATACTTCCGGGTGGTGCCACGGCTTTTAGTGGCACCCGCGGCTTTTAGTGGCACTAGCCACGCCCCCTACCACTGCTGCCATTACACTTCCGGGTGGTGCCACGACTTTTAGTGGCACTAGCCACGCCCCTACCACTGCTGCTCTTGCCTGTTAGTGGCACTAGCCACGCCCCCTACCACGGCTTTTAGTGGCACTAGCCACGCCCCCTACCACTGCTGCCATTACACTTCCGACTTTTAGTGGCACTAGCCACGCCCCCTACCACGACTTTTAGTGGCACTAGCCACGCCTCCTACCACTGCTGCCACGGTACCTGCGGCTGTAGTAGTGACCTCAGTAATTGCAGCACTTATTGCATCATCGGCCTCATCATGCCAACGTTTTTATTTTTTACTTTATTAACAAAATCAAAACAAACAAGGCTGTCACCGAAAATATTTGAAATATTTCAAGCGGTTTACAAATGCGTTTCCCAGTCACTTCATGCATATACAGTGTAATGCAATCAGAAGCGTTAATGCATTTATTTTTTCCATCATTTTTGTTGCTCCCCCAGACGAATCCGTGACAGATCTAGTGGAAGATCCACAGACACTTCCGGGTGGAAGACCGGCGGTGGGTCACCGGCCTCCGGTACAGAGTCAGGAAAAGCAGGGGAGCACCAGAGCCATATGGAGAGCGCCAGAGCAGTTCTCAATTTCTGAAATAATTTATGACAACTGCTACCAATGTGGATTGTGGAATAAAAAGAGATAAACTGTTAGTTTTCTCAATAGTGTCATTGCAATCGGGACAGATACCGCCATCTGCCGGCTTAAAATGGTATTGCAGTACATTTTAAACAACTTGGGAGTGAAAAGGCTGTTTTGTCACTACAACGGATTTGGGGATGTAGTTTATTGTTAATAGATATTGTGGTTTCACAACAATAAAGTTTTGTATTGTGCATATGGATTTATGAGTAGTACGAAACAATGTCTGAGTTTCTTGTTCTTTAAATTACAGTCCAATTAATCATACATGTTTGAAATATAATGCTGAAATATTAACCTCTGAACATTTTTTGTTTGTTGATGATATTTCATTTTTAATTTATTATTATTTTGCATCATGATTTATTTTATGGTGTAGTGTCATGTGGTAATTGTTGCAAATTCTAAATGTAATTTTTATTTTCCTCAACTGAGGTCATTTTTATTTGCTTTATTCTTCAGTACGTTGAATGTAGGTTACATTGTTAACTGAATGTATGTGAAAACGAAGATTGAAATAGTTTAAAAAAAGTTTAAAATGTACTGCAATAACCATTTTAAGCCGGCAGATGGCGGTATCTGCCCCGATTGCAATGACAATATTGAGAAAACTAACAGTTTATCTCTTTTTATTCCACAATCCACATTGGTAGCAGTTGTCATAAATTATTTCAGAAATTGAGAACTGCTCTGACGCTCTCCATATGGCTCTGGCGCTCCCCTGCTTTTCCTGACTCTGTACCGGAGGCCGGTGACCCACCGCCGGTCTTCCACCCGGAAGTGTCTGTGGATCTTCCACTAGATCTGTCACGGATTCGTCTGGGGGAGCAACAAAAATGATGGAAAAAATAAATGCATTAACGCTTCTGATTGCATTACACTGTATATGCATGAAGTGACTGGGAAACGCATTTGTAAACCGCTTGAAATATTTCAAATATTTTCGGTGACAGCCTTGTTTGTTTTGATTTTGTTAATAAAGTAAAAAATAAAAACGTTGGCATGATGAGGCCGATGATGCAATAAGTGCTGCAATTACTGAGGTCACTACTACAGCCGCAGGTACCGTGGCAGCAGTGGTAGGAGGCGTGGCTAGTGCCACTAAAAGTCGTGGTAGGGGGCGTGGCTAGTGCCACTAAAAGTCGGAAGTGTAATGGCAGCAGTGGTAGGGGGCGTGGCTAGTGCCACTAAAAGCCGTGGTAGGGGGCGTGGCTAGTGCCACTAAAAGTCAAGAGCAGCAGTGGTAGGGGGTCGTGGCTAGTGCCACTAAAAGTCAATAATCCAATAATACCTAGCTGCGGACATTGCCCAGGAAAAACGTTTTTCCTGGGCAATGTCCGCAGCTAGACCTTACTCCTAAAAGTCGTGGCACCACCCGGAAGTGTAATGGCAGCAGTGGTAGGGGGCGTGGCTAGTGCCACTAAAAGCCGCGGGTGCCACTAAAAGCCGTGGCACCACCCGGAAGTATCAGAGCTGCCACTGCAAGTGCCACAAGCGCTGCCGCTGCCACAAATTGCGCTCGGTCCTGCTGGGGAAGTGCTCACAGTTCAATTAGCTTTGGGAGCTTCAGAGCAAGATTGTCAGGCTGAAAAGACAAAACCAAACATCAATAATCTGAAACATCACAGTATCTATGAAGCACTTATTCATAAAAGGTTTTAGAACACAGTAAAACCAGTCATCTGAGTAGGTACCAGTGTGGTGAGGGAGTTTCTCTTCATGTACAACCTCTCCAGAAACCGCAGCCCTTCATCCTTCAGCAGCTCCACCGGAAACATGTTCAGGTTTTTGTAGTTCAGAAAAAGGGTTTTGTGGCGCTCCTGCTTGGCCCTAAATATGGTTTCATGGAGTTCAGAAGCCATGTTGAAAGGAGACCTCCCCTCCTGGAAGGAGACGGTCTCTACGCCATCACAGTCTCCTGAACGTCAGGCAGGTGGACCAGCAGTCTCTGATGGAGGACAGCTTCACAGCAAAACGCTACAACATATTAGAGACACGCAACGCAAAAGTAGAAAACATGTCTAAATCAATAGAAGCAGCTGATGTTTGTTTTCTTTTTGCTGATGCTGACTTAAAGTAACAGTTAGCATGCTGGCTTTACGTTCCTAACACATTAACTTTAACAACAAAAGCACTCAACCGCCGCCGCGCGAGATCCTCCGATAGCAACAGCATCAGCCAACACACATGCAAAGCCGCCTAGAGCAAAACCCAAAGTAAAAAGATGCAGAAGACCTTAGGAATTAGCTGCTAGAAAGCAACCATCGACATAAATAGACAGCAACACACATCTACCGTAAACAATGACGTCACCTTTCTTCTTTTCCGGTAGGAATTAAGTCCAAAATGTATTTTCCCGACACCAGCTGGTCAAAGATTTAAACTGCATTTAAGATATTTAAATTAAAATTATATTTAAAAGCTCGGAAATCATTAAAAGATCCATATTCTACGTGCAAATTTATTCTTCTTTTACTTTGTTAATTTATTCATAAGAAAACAGCGAATGTGCAGTAAGTCCACACACTAATTAAAAAGTAAACTCAACAATGAAGGTTAGCTATTTCACAAGTAAATACATCAGTTAAATTTGACATGACCTCTCTAAGTCCAATAAGAAAAGTGTAGTAAGGTACTCCCATTCTGAGTACTTCTTTTAGTCACAACCTACAAAAGCTTAACCTCAAAATTGAGGACCATTTTAATTTTGTTATAAAAAACACTGACGTAGTTTAAATTTGACACATTTTACTGGTGAAGCAAAAACAAAAAATAAACATGGTGTAAAAGTTTATTTATTTCAGTCTCCACCAAGAATTATAAATGAATTGGGATATTTAGATAACCAGCGCTCCTCCAGCCTATCAAAATATAGTTTGTTCTCCCTCTGACAGTTAAAACCATACACATTGATTAAAATCTTTGACCAGCTGGTGTCGTGAAAATACATTTTGGACTTAATTCCAACAGGTTGTGCCATAAATCGACTCGCTGCCAAAAAATGATTAGCCACGGCGGGATCGCGCACAAATTGCATTTCTAGACGAAATTCCCCGGGATTTCGCCCTAACACTCAGCATATCTAGCAATATGGACATTCAGAAAGCAGAGATACCCTCTTCCGGTGTTTATCGCGGATATTAGCTTTTTCAGTTCGAAAGTTGTTTTAAGTGTTGCTATTTGTCTTTAACGTTCACAATGAGGATATATTAATCCTTTTTGCAATATTTGCGATTGAAAGATGGTTTGTAGTAAGAACTGGCTTTCTTTATGTTACAGCCTTGATACTAAAAAATAAATAAACAATGTAAAATGGCACCCTGTATTGAATGTAAACGTTGTATAAATAAAAATAAACAATTCTCCAGCGATTTGATTCCCCTCCCCCTTCCTTTCTTTAGTGCACTTCACATGGAGCCACAGTTAGTTTGGGGTACATTTTTACTTGAAAAATAGTATTTAAACTGATCAAGCTTTGGCTTTAATGACACTGTGTAGGTTACTATCTATACATGACTTTGCTCTATTTAAAAGTAACAAGATAAAAGCACTTCAGCACATAAAATTAAGATTGTCACTTGCCAAATAGAGACTATACCCTCCTGTTTACCTATAAGAAACGGCTCAAAATATCTTTAAATTCTTTATTGATGATTTAATTGTAGACAACTAAAATGGCATTATACTTGCCAAAAAGTGATTGAATCGCTCAGATTTTCATGGAGGTTAAAATTGACCAAATAAGGGTTTTATGTATTATCTGTTGATGTTACTGTACTCATACTGCCTACTGTATCATCATAAACACCCCAAAAATGGCAAAAAAAAGAGATAATTTCCCTTGCCAAAAATTGATTACAGTGTCCTGGTCACCTGTAAAGAGTTAAATTTACTTAAATATTACTTTATTTATTATCTCTTGATGTTATTAGTGCCATCACAGGATGCTGGGTCTCTTCCACATTCATAAACACTTCAAAAATGGCAACAAATGATCATTTCCCTTGCCAAAAATTGATCACAGTGTCCTGGTCACCTGTAAAGGGATAAATTTACCTAAATATTATAGGGTATTTGATGTCCTTTAGTGTCAGTGTTAGTGAGAACCGGTCATGATGGGAGAGAACAAGCTAACAGAAGGCATCTTTAAGGTCTTTTATGACTCGGCTCAAGTCAAAAGTCCAGCTACAGCGACATGAACTAGCCTTTGGCAGGAACAGCAGTGTGCTGCTTGTGCAAATTTAAAACATTCCACAGGCTGTACGTTCCCATTCGGTTTGGTTTGTAGCAGAAGTGGTATAGCATCATACCTCCAACGATCATCAGAACAACAAAAAATACTGCTGCAGCTATGATGAACGGCGTGGGGTCAACTGCAAAACAGGAGGGGAAAAAACTGTAAAACACCAAAGCAGTCTTCATGTTTTATTTTGAAAAGCTAATCTTCTCAGTGACATACAATCAAACTCACCTTGGACGTCCACGTTGAATTTCACTTTCACTGAGCCCACGCTGTTACTGACAGTGCAGACATACTGACCCACGTGTTCAAAACCGACGGGATCAACTGTTAAAACACTGGCGAAAGAGTTGGATCCGTCGATCGGTTTCTCCCAGGTGTACAAGGGGGCGGGGTTTCCATCAGCTGAGCAGTTCAGGTGGAGAGATTTTCCTTCTGTGATTTTGATTGGATCTGGATTCGCTGGCACCAAAAGCTCAGGTTTGTCTGTGTGGATTTAGAAGGAAAAAAAGAAGGAAATTAAATGTAATATAAATAAAGATTAGGAAAAAAAGGTTTGTGTATTAGAGAAAATAGAGCAAATTGTAAGAAGTAACTGTTCCACGCATCTCTTCCTCTTTCGAGTCTCCATGACGTTTTTCATTAGATGATTCACTTCATCTTTCTTACGAACTCAGTGCACTGACACTGATAAGTGCCTGTCCTCAGGGTTCGAATCATAAAGATTAGCTCTGCAAAAAATATAATGAAAGGAAAAAATGCCACACCTAAACTAACTCACTTTAACTTTTGGAAAATAATTGTCAGGAAGTATCTTTATAGTGAATTTATGTTTATTTTAACTCAGAACCTTTTATTTGGTTTTAATGTAAGAGACCAACATGACTGCTTTCTAATTCACCATCTACCAGACAACTTTGTAACTGGTATAATGATTTTATTGATGAATGTCTTTGTTTGTTTGCTATCTGTCATTGTTTCCCCCTCAATGTACCAGCTCGGTGGTCTAGTGGTAGAGTGTCTGCCCTGGGACCGGGCGACCCTGCCTCCCTGCTTGAAACTCAGTTTTAATGGGTTGGATTGGGAATAATCCACCAAATAGTTCTCGAGTGCAGCTACAGCTGCAGCTCACCACTCCCCTCCATGGAGATGGGTCAAATGCAAAAATGAATTTCACTAGTGTGACGATAACTTCGGAACTTTAACTCAACTCTTAGTTTGCCTCCGTTTGCCATCCAGTAATCATTTCTCCTTGCATAAATACTCGTTTGTCACATCCTGTTTCTCCCCTCTGCTACCCATGTGTTCCTTTCTATTTCACATTCTTTATTATAAAAGTATTTTACTGTATCTCTGCATTTTGGTCAATTTTCAGTTTAACCCTAACCCATAAGAACATCCGCAGCTTTGTTCTTGTTACTTTCAGGGGTGAGCAGAAATGCTTCCAGAGGATTTTGCATTAAGTATTTAAAATTGTGCTTCCCTTTGGGTAAAAGTATTTCCTATGTAAATCTCTGTTTTTGGGTGACAGTATGACCAAAACAGAATAGCTGTGGGGCAACGTTTACGGGATTAAATATGCTATAAAACACTGGAGAACTGCAGATTTGAGACAATTATCTAGGTTTGCCCTTAAATGGTCCAGAAAGTTATCTGATCATTACTGATCAAATCTTACCTCCATCAAAGCAGGAGGTCCAACGCTAAAAACAGCTACACTACAAATGTACAGACCTCCATATCTGCAAAGATCCAGCTTGTGGGCAGATCAAATAGCAGAACACAAATAAGACTGTGCTGTGTTTAATTTACCCTGAAAATGACTGGCTGTAGCTCAGATTTATGTTTTAAATTAGCACCGTTTCATATCCCTGGACAGGTTTTTTTTTTTCAACTAGAAACTTACAGTGGACTATGGGGTTGATGTTTCCTGATCTCACCACTGGAAGGTGCTGCAGTCCTTCATGTCCCAGTTCCAGTTTGGCTTGACACCAGAACGGAGCTCCATTGTCTTCTTTAGTGATGTTGTAGCTCAGAGTGAAGCTCTGACTCTCTGGTTCCTTTGTGGTTCTGGTGGAGTTCTGCTGATCCAGTGGGATGCTTCCTCTGTAGAAGGTCACAACGAGATCTGCAGCAGGAGCTGTGTCTGATACAGAACACAGCAGGGTGTGCTTGCCGCTCTCTAATGTGTTATTGTACTCCACAAAGCTGATGGACACGTGTTCTGGAAGCTCTGAGGAGACAAAATATTAAAATAAATAAAAAACAAACAACTAGAACCTACCAAAAACATCAAGCAGACTTACGGTAGACAACAACAGGCAGGATGGTCGCCTGAAGTTTTCCTTCTTTATCTTCATAATAGCAGATGGAGGTAATGTCCCACTCAGTCATTTTGTCAACTATCCATACAGCTGTGGTGTTGTTGCCGATCACTTTCCCCAAGGATTTCTCAAACTTTGGCGTGCCTTGGTGTCCACAAACTTCACACGTGACATTGGCTGAATCACCATACCTCAACACCAGTCTGGATGGAGTCAGCACAGGTTTTACTGAACAGTGTGAATCTGCATGAAAGCACAGACACAAATTCTGTTGTAACCCACCGTTTTTGGTGTTGTAAGAAATCAGTCGTTTTCACAAAAAGACAAGTGGAACATCAATATCGTAAAACAGTTTCTTCCCAACAGCTGTCAGACTCCTGAACTCTGCCTCCTGACATATGACCCACGTTAAACTCATGGACTGCTTGTATTAACTACAGCCTGTACATACTTATAGTCATAGAATATTCATAACATACTTCATACCGTGTACATTATAACATACATAATAGATCCATTTCTGTAATATACTTACACATCTATATTATTGCTAATATATATTGTAATACATCTATATCACGGCTAAAGCACTTCTGGATGGATGCAAACTGCATTTCATTGCTCTGTACCTGTACATGTGCAATGACAATAAAGTTGAATTCTATCCTAAAACCAAACTTTAAACTGTTAGTATTTCTGTGGAGTCATTGGTAACACTTTACAATAAGGATACCTTTATTGTTGTCAATTAGTGCATTATTAAGCATCAATAAAACAAAGTGTCCCTTTATTAATGTTACTGTTATTGTTAACCATCCTTAAAGGATTATTCCACCCCTAAGTGAATTGTCTATTTCCATTTTCCCAAAGTTAGATTAGTGAGGAAAAAAGTATTTTGTAACCCAGCACAATTCTCCTGGTCTGGCAGCAGTCTGTCTGCGTTAGCTTTGCATAAACAATGGAAGTGCATAGCAGGAACTAGCATTTTGACTGCAAAGGTGATTTAAATTACTCAATAATAATAATAATAATACCAATTATTCCTGGTGAGCCTAATAATCATGTTGACTGAAAAATGAAAAGTAAGTTGTAACACAAAGGATTTCCAGGAGCCGATTTAGACTGGGGACTACATATTGACAAGGCACAGCTGTAACCTGAAGCTGCGCGGTGCATGGATATGACACAGCGGTCAGGAATAATTGGTTTCATTATTGAATAAGGCAACTTTAGAACAGTCAAGTGTTTTCGTCTTAGTCATTCTTGGGTGTTTTTAGCTGTGTGTTTTGGGTCATTGTCCTGTTGAGACACCCATGACCTGTGACTGAGACAAAGCTTTCTCTCTAGAATCCCTTGATAGTTTTGAGATTTCATTGTACCCTTCACAGATTCAAGACACTCTGTGCCAGATGCAGCAAAGCAGCCCCAGAACATAATAGAGCCTCCTCCGTGTTTCACAGTAGGGACACATGCTTCATTTTTCCATCTGTGAACACAGAACTGATTCGTCTTGGTGAAAAATGTAGTCTCATCTGTCCATAGGGCATTCTACTCTGAAGCTTTGTGACAACATGGAGCATACTCCAGTCTGGCTTTGATTCCAGTCTGTTTTCAACAATGGTGTCTTTGGTCGCCTCCGTGTAGTACACGTTGGCTCAAACAAGAACAGATGGTGTGATCTGACACTGATGTTCCTCTAGCTTGAAGTTCACCTTGGATCTCTTTAGAAGTTTTTCTGGGTTCTTTTGTAACCGTTCAGATTATCTGTCTGCAGGATTTGTCACCACTTATCTTCCAGCACCCATATCCATGGAGGTTGGCTACAGTTCCACGGATCTTATATATGTGAATAATATGTGCAACGGTAGTCACAGGAACATCTAGCTGCTTGGAGATGGTCTCATAGCCTTTACCTTTAACATGCTTGTCTATAATTTTCTTTCTAATCTCCTGAGACAACTCTTTTCTTCGCTTCCTCTGGTCCATGTTGAGTGTGTTACACACCATGTCACCAAACAACACAGTTCTTCTTCTTCTTCAGTAAGGGAAGGCAGCCTGGATGCCCTGGAGGCGTTTTGCTGCCAAAGCAGTCCACATCAGATTTTGAGCTCACAGCCTGTTGTACACTCCCAACACACACAGAATGCCCACGAGCGCCCTCACCCTGTACTCATAATCAGGAGTCAACTATGTGCCTAAGTGAAACACTGACACTCCGGCTTACGCCAGAACCCCAATGAACTATTGCCTCTGTTCTGCATAACTCTTATGTTCATGTTTATTCATTTAGCAGACGCTTTTATCCAAAGCGACTTACAATCTATAACCTATAGGGCATGTTGTGATCTGTGGGGGAAACCAGAGAAACCCGGAGGAAACCCACGCATGCATGGGGAGAACACGCAACTCCACGCAGAAAGGCCACAGCCGAGTTTCGAACCTGCAACCTTCGTGCTGCGAGGCAACAGTGCTAACAACTGCGCTACCATGCAGCAGGAGCAAATGCCCCACCATTTGCAATTCCCCACACCCACACCTCCCATCCAGATGCCACTTTGCCCCAGCCACAACCTGGCCAGAATGATTCCCACCTCCACAAGACACAATCAGACCCTCGAGTCCCCACCAAGTGCAGCAAACCATAATACACCCTACCCTTTTGACCCCCATCCCAAGAGGCCTGCCAGAGAGCCCTAGCCTCCGGGTCCACCTCAAGATAAATCTGCAGCCAAGCAAAAAAAATAATAATAATAAAAAATACACCGACTACCTGGATCCTTATATAGGCTCACTGACTGATTACAAGACTGTAGAGACCTGTAACGCTAATTAGTGGACACGCCTTATGAACACGTACCATCATTTTTGTCCAGGCCTGTTCAGTGAGTTTATTTTTTAAATAATCCTGTTGAAGCATGGTTGAAGAGCAATGTCTGAATATCACTGGGATTTTTAATTATTATTACTTTTGTCAGATTCCTGTTATTTCTGTGACCATTGTGGGTTAGCCTTGTGAACTAGACCAAACTCTTGCTTTGTAATATATTTATTTAGTCAGTTTGGCTTTTCCTTCACTGACCAAAGGGTACCAACAATCATGTCCACATCTGTAGGTGTAAACAGACCACAGACCAGATTAGCCATTAATTATGCTCACAGCTGTTGATCTTAACAGCTATTCAAAAGATTTATCAAACTGTCAGTGGTGATCAGTGAAAATGTATAGTCATTTTTGATATTCCTGTATTTTCCTCCAAATATTTACTCATGAATTCAAGCAGCTGCAGTTGGTTTTATTTGGAACTGAGCTCCTGAGATTGAAACAGCTCTTAGATAATAGCAAAAACAGAAATAGGCCACTAAAACATGAAGCTGTGAGAAAATTCCTCTGTAAGATTGAACATCTGAGACACCTGAAAGCTGTTAGAGTTGCTAAATGAAAACAAAAAAGAAGATAACTTTTGGGATGAAAATTGTTCCCTACCCTCCTCTTCAGTAAAGACAGGGGGACGAGAAAAGGACAAAATAACTCACCTGAACCAGATACCCGAAGGTCGTGTAGGGAACTCATCAAGTAAATAGCAAAAAGTAAGATGCAGGAAAACATTTTTGATTGTTTCCAATGAAAAAAGGTTGTCTGGGAATTCAAATCTCAGTGAGGAGTTGAGTCAGGAACATAATGAAAGCCAAACGGTTGTGTTTGAGAATGTCCTAAAGCTGTGGGAGGAGGGTCTTTGTGTGGGAGGAGTGTGAGTGTGTGTGTGAGTGAGTGTGTGTGAGTGTGAGTGAGGAAGTGGGAGCTCACTGAGAACTGTGTAAAGTAAAAAGAAACACTGGGGTTTATGGGAAATCAGAGCACGGCCTCATGACCCTAGTGCGTCATCATAAAAACAGCTGGGCATTTCCGACCTTACATAATGAAGTTTTTTTAACTCTTCTCTCTCGAGTTAAAGCATAAACCACTTCTCATCTTATTTTTCATCAATCAAAGAATGATTTCATGAAGTAAAACTTACTAAAAAGTAATTGTTACTGACCAGACAGCATGTTTAATTACTAGGAGACAGATGATTGTCTAGTTTCTAAACTAGATGTCCATTAAAGATTCACCATGGTAATTGAATGTTTAAACCGTACCCAACACAGAGGTTGAGTAAAGATTGATAACCTGAGCATTTTCCACCTCTTGGCTTTCAGAGAATGGAATTCGTGATCCACCCCCCAGTGCTGATCTTCCTTATCTGTTTCCTGAGAGCCCTTCCTCCGTTTCGCTGCTTCTGCTCAGGAGTCAGGATCAGCTTTCATGTTCTAAACCAAGACATCGCTTACCACTTTCTGTTTTTCACTTTCAACGGTCAGCTGTTTTAAATCTTACCGAAGCCTCAGCTAACCCCAGATAATAGGTTTTTATTTTGTCCAGGGTCTTGCTTATGACAGCTTTCCAGATAAACTCAGTCACATACCCAGGACCGTTTCAAGGTATTTTGGGGGCCAAGGCAAAATGACCCCCCCAATAACTGGGCTCCCCAGAAGCCTCTGTGTAATTCATACCCTCTCCAGGAGTATTAGTTATTCAGTGTACAATTATCAGACATGCTGTCTCATCTGCTTCTTTTCTAAACTTGCAAAAAGTAACAAAACCATTTAAAAGCCACTATTTGTTGATTATCTGAAAGTTTCCATGGAGTGTGTGACAACTTATTTTCTCATTGATCCTATCGTCTAATCTCACAGCTGAAACAAGCATCCTTAATAATCTGTGCACAGGAAGCTTACCGATGCTGTAGTAAAACAAAAGGTATAATAATGTCAGGGTGGATGGGCTGAGCTGAAGCGTAGCGGAGGTAAATGTAGCATGGCTGTGTGACCCAGACGCGGAGTGACTGGCGTTTGGTCTTAACAGGACACACAGCTTGCTCTTAGGAACGGCGGTACAGCACTCGCAGGGAGTCGAGGCTGAACTGCGATTCCTTTGTGTTGGAAGCTGTCGGGATGGAGTGGAGACAGCGTGGAAAGTTATCTTTCCTGGATGGATATGGGACTTAATCTCGATCGGGTTGGTTTGGCTTGTCATGAGACGATGACTGAATGACAGCTCAGCGGTAACAGTTCCTTATATAGATTCCGTGTGGTGACGTCACCGAGAGCGTCGGTGACGGGAATGCTGGGAAATGGAGTGCCGCGCCAACCCGGCCCACAGAGGAGGTCAGGAGGAGGAAGAGTTCGTGACAGGACCCCCCCCCCCCCCCCCCCCCCCCCCGCGCGAGGGACGGCACCAGAAGTCCCCGGGCGATGGGACCAGAAGTCCTCCAACAAGGTCGGGTCCAGGAATGAACGGGCCGGTTCCCAGGAGCGCTCCTCCGGGCCGTAGCCCACCCAGTCCACCAGATACTGCCAACCACGGCCCCGGCGGCGGGCATCCAGGATCTTGCAGACAGTGTACACCTGGTTGTCACCCACACAACGGGGCGGAGGCCCGCGGGCCAGAGAAGGATAGAGAGGAGAGGAGTCCACTGGTTTGAGCTGAGAGACGTGGAAGACTGGATGTATCTTGAGAGAGGTCGGAAGGCGCAGCCGGTAAGTAACTGGATTGACAACATCCCTGACCGGGAAGGGCCCCAAAAAACGGGGGGCGAGCTTCCGGGAGCCAGCCGGTAACCTCAGATTGGCCGTAGAGAGCCATGCCCGGTCCCAGGCTGGAACACGGGGCCGGGCCGGTGCCGGCGGCGATATTGCCGGGAGTATTCCGTGTTGGCCCTGGTGACGGCGGCACGGGCCCGGACCCAGGCGAGACGGCAGCGGCGGACCATAGCCTGAGCAGCAGGGACCTCCACCTCAGGCACCTGATGGTCGAAAAGAGGGGGCTGGTAACCTTAACACGTCTCGAAGGGGGACAGACCCGTGGCAGAGGACATATGGAGGTTATGTGACAGTTCCGCCCACAGGAGGTAGCGGGGCCAGGTGGATGGCTGGGACGAGGCGAAGCAGCGCAAGTAGCGTCCGAGCTGCTGATTAGCCCGTTCCGTCTGACCATTAGTCCGGGGATGATAACCAGATGACAGACTGGCGGAAGCGCTGACCAACCGACAGAAAGCCTTCCAGAAGCGTGAGATGAATTGGGGCCCTCTGTCGGATACCACGTCCTGGGGAAACCCGTGGAGCCTCACCAACTGTTCAAGGAGGATTTCCTCCGTTCTCTTGGCAGTGGGGAGACCGGCTAAGGCCACTAGATGCACAGCCTTTGAGAAGCGGTCGGTGATGGTGAGGATGGTGTCCAAATTATCGACAGCGGGAAGGCCTGTGACAAAATCCCCGCCGATGTGCGACCACGGCCGTTTGGGCACAGGGAGCGGTTGCAAATCCCCGGCTCCAGGCTGGGTGGACGACTTGGACCGGGCACACGTGTCACATGCAGCAGTGTACTCACGCACATCCTTCCTCATGGTGGGCCACCAGAGAGCGCGGCGAGAGAGAAACTGGAGGGTGCGAGCCTGGCCTTGGTGTCCAGCGAGCCGTGAACTATGTCCCCACTCCAGGGTCTCCTGACGACAGACGACTGGAACGTAGAGGCGGTTGGGAGGCGTCTCCAGGGGCGCCGGATCAGCAGGGAGGGCAGCCCGGATGGAGTCCTCCAGCGGCCATTGTAGGGCGGCCAAGAACCGTTTGGCCGGGAGGATGGTCAAGGGCTCAGGAGGTTTGGGATCTTGTGTGTAGCGGCGGGAAAGAGCGTCCGCCTTGAGGTTCTTGGAGCCGGGTCGGTAGGCGATATGGAAGTTATAGGGTTCGAAAAAGAGGGCCCACCAAGCCTGACGAGGGTTGAGTTGGCGGGCGGTCTGCAGATGTATGAGGTTCTGATGATCGGTCCAGATTAGAAATGGGTCGTGGTTCCTAAGAGCCATTGCCGCCACTCCTCCAGAGCCCATTTAATTGCCAGCAGTTCCCGGTCCCCGACTCAATAGTTCTGCTGTGTAGGGGAGAACTTCCTGGAAAAGTACGCGCAGAGGTGGAGTTTGGAATCCGGACCCCACTGCGATAACACGGCTCCTGCTCCCATCTCTGAGGCGTCCACCTCCACAACGAAAGGCCGGGTAAGATCTGGGTGGAGGAGGATGGGCTCATTTACGAAGCGACGGACCAGATCATGGAAGGCCGTGATAGCCTCCGGGGTGAGGCGGAAAGGGCGAGGCTGGTTGGTGGTCTTGGTGAAGGAGGTTAATGGTGCTGCCAGGGAACTAAAATTGCGGATGAACCTGCGGTAGAAATTACAGAAGCCCAGGAAGCTCTGCAGCTGTTTCAGGGTTGTGGGAAGTGGCCACTGCGCTACAGCATGCACTTTCTGTGGATCCATACTTAAACCCCGTGAGGAAATGATGAACCCCAGGAACGAGGTGGACTCCTGGTGAAAAGCACACTTTTCCAGCTTGCAGTACAGTCCGTGCTCCAGGAGGCGAGACAGCACCGCCCGAACATGCTGGTTGTGTTCCTCTGCAGTGTGGGAGTAAATGAGGATGTCGTCCAAATAAACAAAAACCCAACGGCCCAGCATGTCCCTGAGGACATTGGTAATAAAGCGCTGGAAAACAGCAGGGCTGTTGCAGAGGCCGAAGGGCATGACGAGGTACTCGTAGTGGCCTGTTGGTGTTATGAAGGCGGTCTTCCACTCCTCCCCCTCCTTTATGTGGATGAGATTGTAGGCACTGCGGAGGTCCAGTTTAGTAAACAGGGTGGCCTGGGAGGTGGCGTCCAAAGCGGTGCTCATGAGAGGAAGAGGATGGCGGTCCCGGATGGTGATCTTGTTTAACCCACGGTAGTCGATACAGGGCCGGAGGTCCCCCTCCTTCTTTTTAACAAAGAAAAACCCCGCCGCTCCAGTGGATGTGGAATGACGGATGAAACCTTTCTGGAGAGCCTCGGTAATATAAGAGTCCATCGCCCGGGTCTCCGCCGGGGAGAGTGAGAACAGCCGACCCTGGGGCGGGGTGGTTCCGGGCTGGAGTTTGATCTCCAAGTCGTAAGGTCGATGAGGGGGTAGTCTGGTGGCAGGTTCTTTTGCAAAGACCTGAGCAAGATCATGGTACTGGGGAGGTACGAGCGTCAAATCCACATCTTTGGGTGGTGTCGCCCTAGACTGTGATCCTGGAGCAGTACAGTGGATACGGCAGTTAGCACCCCAAGCTGTGACTTTATTGGTGGACCAGGAGATGTGAGGGTCATGGCGACAGAACCAGGAGTGACCCAGGATGAGAGGAGTCGTTGGGGCTTGAATGACCAGGAAGTGAAGGGTCTCCATGTGTTCGTTTATGGTCAGACGGAGGTTCTGGGTACGGTGAGTGAGAGGATATGGCATGAGTGGACGACCATCCACTGAGGTGACAGGAATGGGGTGGTCGAGGAGGGTGAGTGGTATATTGAGCCGGGTGACCAATCCCTGGTCAATAAAACATTCCGCAGCGCCGGTTTCAAGGAGGGCTGCCAGAGAAACCGGTCCTTGGTCCCACTGGAGAGAGACCGGAAGGGTGGTGTGATGTGGAGCTGGATGAGTGGAAACTCCGGGTGGAACAGCTCCTACACTGACCAGGAGGGACCGTTTTCCGGTCGTACCGTACATGTTGCCCGGAGGTGGCTCAGATCCCCACAATAGGTGCATCGTCCCTCCTGATAGCGTTGCGCCCGTTCCTCGGGGGGCAACCGTCCCAACTGCATGGGTTCCTCCGTGGGTTGGTTCTCCTGACGACGGGGGAACGATCTGGTGTGTGAGGGAACCGA